GAAATCGCAGTTCTTACGCGATTTTAACGTTAGCTTGGCTATTACAATCCTTCGGTCTCAACGGAAGATTAGGAAGATGGGCTGCATTACTTTTGAACTGGTCTCTAGAAATTCGCGGGTGTGAAAAGGGTAAATACAAATTACTCGGTGTGTTGGCTGCAAGTGTACCGCCCCCGTGCAGAAGTGGATGAAGTGTTGATCGCCATCGCTCCGCGAAAGCAGCCAAGGCAAACGAAAAGCATGCCACCACCTACAGTTGAAAAGGGTGAAAACATCCTAGTAGCCGGTTTCGATGGATTGACTAGAGTAAAAGAAAATGTGGAGCCTATAGCGCGATCATTTGGAAGTTACCAGAATGGACTGTCATAGCTGCTGCATCGGAGTTCGCCGCTGATCCGACTGTGAACGAAGCGGAATATCGAGAGCTACTACTTAGCTTCGGCTTGCTTGCGAATCAGACTGGGGGACGTGTGATCATCTGTGGTGACTCAAATCTAGTTATAGACAAATGCGAGGCGAAATAGACTGCAAAGCACCAGGTTTGCAATTGTTACGACATAAGGCTATGGAGACATTACGATCGTGGCCGAATCATGATTTCCTACAGATAAAGCGGGATTGAAACCAAAGTGCCGATCGATCGGCAAGCGAAGCTCTGCAGCGCGAGAAAGGTGTGACCGATCTCACTGACCAAGAACGCCAAGACTTAATCACGCTTAATCGATTGAATGAGTTGTTGCTTCCGAATCAGCCTGATAAAGTAGTGAAAATGGCTGCAATCACTCGATCTATTACAATGACATTGTCAGTCCGAAATCTTACAAGAAGGATTTGGTTAAAAGGGATAGAGTCGATCGCATAAGGCAGGCGCAAGATGAAGATATTTTGCTAGCCAATTTGAAGATATATTCGATCGAGGACGTTGCCAGGCTAAAAGCGGAAGAGGCTAAAATGTGCGCCCGGATCGCGCCGGATTACGAAGAGGATCAAAGCGGATTACTGTTGTTCTGCCCACAATCGACTGGGAAGTACGGAGAACGTGATGAGTCAGTTCGTTTGGTGGTCAAGAGTTATTGCAGCAAAAAAATTACACCATTATCATACGTGCTTTAAAAATGGACATCAAGGAATAGGTCGTCCCTACCAACGTATCAGGGCGATTTTCCATTGGCGAGGATTGTGCCGGAGTGTGCAATCGTATATCGGCAAATGTGTGGATTGTGAAACGGAAAAAGGACGTCCATGTAGACGTGGCCGGTCGCCAGGTTATTTACAGGCAACTTACCCATTTCAACTTCTGGCTATGGGTAACATTTCGTCATTACCGCAGTCGTTTAAAGGAAACACCGAATTATTATTGTGGGTCGATCTGTTTTCTGGCTATGTGATCGCAAAAGCGAGTTCGTCTTAGACTGCTCAGACGATTGCAGAAAACTACGAAGAAAGTGTATTTCGACGATTTGGTGCAAGCGAGGTCATACGCGACCAAGAACCAGGATTTATGTACGATTCTTCCGAGCATTATATTGGATCGTAGGACAAAGGCAGCGGGATACTATGGCCTATAGGCCACAAGCAAACGGCACGGCGGAACGCATGGTGCAAATTCTAACACAAGCGATCACGATGTATGTGGTCAATGAAACCAGAAGGATTTAGATGAATATGCGTAACGCCTAACCTTCGCGATCAATACCGCACATGATCGCGTAAGAGGAGATACACCGTTTTACTTAATTTATGGTTGGGATCCGCGATCAACTTTGGAAGCAGCCCTACCTTTAGGGAGTACCAAACTGAGAGACCAAAATTCGCGACGATGGAGGTTTAACATACAACGCCAATATTCAGCGTGCAAGGTCAGTTGTGAATGATCGACTAAAATCGCGATCCAAGATCGAGCCGACCAGCATAATGCGGATCACGTTCTACTGGATGTAAAGCGGGGATTGCAAGTATGGCTTTATGTGGATCGTGTAATGATTGGATATGCTAGAAAATTGGCCCATATGTGGCATGGACCGTTTCATGTGGATGATAGATGTGGTGATCATGTAGTCCGGCTGGAAATCGAAGGTACGCCTTATCTGCTATTTTCGGTGGTCCATGTTTTTAAAGCTGAAGTTGGTTAAAGAATTCTTCGAACGCCCAGCAGTGCAATCAAATGTGGATGACAGTAGTCGTGTGGATTTCGACGAAGCATTACTGCCCGAAGACAGCTGGGAGAAAAATTCGGAAGAAGGAGAGTTTGAGGTGGAAAGAGTTGTAGACGTAAAGTCAGGGCGAAAGACATGTTACAGACGGGTACATCGTCACTTTTTGGTATTTGGAAAGGATACAGCGATCCATCTTGGGTGAACGAGGCTGATCAGAATTGTAAAGCGCTATTGGAAGAAATTGAGCGCAAACGAGTCAGTCGGAATCGGTTTGAGGTGATGCAGTCCCACTAGGAAAAATCTCGTGAGTAAGGGCGAACAGCCGATGAATAAGAAGTGGGAAGAATGCGTAAGAGGATTGCTCGTGAAGGTGGAAGGGAATAAATGTAAGTGAGTTTTGCGTCGAAGATATTTGGATCGACGATGTCTTATATCGACGATTCCGATCCAGATCGAATGATCAAAAGAAAAGAGGAAGAGTTGAAACGTGATCCAGGATAATGAGAGTGAAATTATATGAAAGGATCATGATATGAAAATGATGACCAAAGGAATTACGCGACATCTACAAATTTGCCAGCTAGCCGAGGAACCGATGATTTGGAGTGAGCCCAGAGATCGAAGAGCGAAACTGGTTCCTCCAAGGCTCTGCGGTGTTGCACATGGACAAGGTAGCGACCAGATTTGGTGTGATGGTCCGCCCTGCAGGTAAAGTCGGATGCCACATCTTAAATTCTCTTGTGCGGGGAAAATGAAGAAACATTGGATCCAACACGACATCCAGATTGCAATGGCCGTCAATCATACCTTGGCGGATTATCTGCAGAAGTTTCTTCCACTTGGAACCGGATCGGGATCGTCGTTGTTTCCGTTCTTTGACGAAGGTCGCTTAAAGCTTGATTATATCGACGCTGGGCAACCGATATCGGCAGAAAATGGGAAGCTTCCCAGAGGGCCCGCCGGTGACGATCTTCAAAATCGTAATATTGGGCAAGTAGGGTCTTAAACCATACAACACGCTGGAAAATATTGGATCAATTCGGCGTGCATCCATTTCTCAAGGTCGGCGATCGTACAATATGTTGATCTGGAGATATGTGATTAGTGAGGAAGACCAATTAGACGCGGAAGAACGGCGGAATTTACCAGAGACGGAAAAATAAATCCAGGAGGTTTTGAGAAGTGACGGTGGAAGAATTCCACGTCTAACTCCGGAACGCTGGTCAAGCTGATCCGACGAGATGACCATGAAGTAGTTTCCGCAGATGATCGAGGGACTCGACTCCGGTATCTGGATATCCGATATTCATTTATCCCAAGGTACAGCGGTGACCGGGATAGCCTAGAATCCATCCACGCTGAACAGCTGATTGCAATCGTCTCGAGGATCGCTGCTGATGCTGCTTAATCCATCAGAATCACTCGAAGGCTCACCAAACAAAGCGACCTTCGACACTCGAGAAGGCGAAGGGAGTGGGCTAGGTGTGTCGACCTCGATTATCGACTAATGTGATGAACTTGCCATGTTGCGACATGATGTGAACCGGGAAGAGGATAACGCAGCTAGCAAAGAGTCATTCGTCTAGCCCGAAGAGTCATCAAGCCGGTCCTCCTCATTGGGATTTTCGAGTAAGGGAGAAGGAAATGAGTCCCAGAGCGGGCCAGTCATGGCAACCTCAGATCGGGTAGGTGACTGAGAAATGGAAAGTTCAGGAGAAGCCTCTGCCTGACAAGCGTGTTTGGCAGGGAGTGCACTTGGGTCAGAAATTTCTTGGTGACGTTTTGTTTTCAGGAGAGATATGCTTCAAATGAAACACCAGGAGATGTAGATGAAGATTTCGATCCCACGCCCGAAACAAAATTGGTGAGACGGGTGAGGAGAGAGTCTCGAGACAGGATAGCCTGATTGCGCTCGTTTTCTTGATCCATCAATTTCTGCGCGAGCTGATCACGTTCGGCCTGAATTAGTTTGTTGCAGGTAGGAGCTTCAACGTTTAGAAAACTACCGCACGAAGCGCATAAGAGAAGTAATCCAATACTGGCTTTTTTCTCTACGGCTCAAGATAAGAGCTGGTTTAATTTATGCATTAAGATCTATAGGAATGAACCTACCCAAAGTACCCTACACTAGATTTGACCACTATAATCGTAAACATAATAGTCATTATACTATGCAGGGTTCTTTAATAGATGACGTGTCATCCAAACATCTGTGTATGATGTACCTAGTATGGCGATATCGGTTATCAAGTCCAAGCCGATATAGTAAGGTATTACCGATACCGTGCTTCAATGCTCATACTTGGTACCTCCTCAAATGAAAGTATAAGAAATACAATGTTTATAACTACGTATGTAATGGGGTTACACGACGGCGAATAGATACGTTGAATGTATTTATCCATTGTCGTGTAACCCCGCTACATCGACCGTAAAAAAGCTTTACGGTGTCCACGTTAATGAATTGCTCTTCAGACATCTTACGGTCTGACCAAAGGTTGTGTAGGCCCTTGTAAGTCATCTCTTTAGCAAATTTTTAGAATACCATCATCTTGCGACAAAATGTCACAGTAGGGTTAGGTGGCGTCATCTTTTCCACCAAATGACCACATCCATTTCCAAAATCTTTTTCAACTGGAATAAACTTAAAGGCAGGTGGTCGCTCAACTCGTTCGTATTGTATTGAGTGATGCAGGCTGAGCTGACTAATTTGTGGTTTACTCGCTAAGCTTGAGAAAAGTTTCCGAGACTATTATAGAGAGCTACGTGAACTTAGATGTAAGTTTAACAAACGTGTTGAACTTAATTTAATCGACCTACTATGCCAAAGTAAATTCCAGTTTCTTACTCAAGACGTGGTCTTTTTGTCGAAACTCGACCCCTTGATATCTTGTAGACATCGCTTAGATTTGCCATTTCTTCTGCATATCGCACCAAATTCGCCTGGGAGTCCTCGTACCACTTACGTGTTTTAGTAATTATCACAACTGCGTCTTCATATTTGCTTACAGATGCTTTGGCAACGTATGAAGACTCACGAATACGTTCATCATTGCAAGTAGTAGCTAATTCCTTCGCCGTGCGAAGGTTCATAAAGTTTTGATCACTTCTCTCCCCTTTCAGTGTCATCGATTGCTGAGGACCACGTAAAAACTCCGTGATCTCTTTGCGCTCGGAAAACCCCGCGTACGGCATCTCCCATGAAAAAGTCTTGCTCAACTTATCTAATTTATGAATATCGCCTTTCAACCACTCCACACGTTTTGCAGCAATCTTCGACAGCAAAGCAAACTGCTCGCTCGTTGGATCGAAGTCGCTGCCATGCTGTACTAACACGTTGCCGAATGGACCAAGCTCACTTGGCTCCATTTTATCAAGCTTACTTATCACCATATCGAAAGACTGGGAGTCACCAAGGCAGATAGCATGTTTCCACAAAACTTCAGCTGCTGTGGAAGAATGCAAGATCGTTTTCTCTTTTTCGATTTTTTTCAAAGCTTTAGCGAGCAGAGCCTGCCGAGGTACTCCATCATTTAAACCAGCAGCCACTCGTAACAGCAGTTCCACAGCCGAGTCCCCGGGCTTTTCACCGTAACCCCAGTAAGGTGATTGGGTACCCAGAATATCCAACAATGCTTCACCAACGTCATCCCATGAAAAAGTGCTGGCAATCTTGATAAATGCTGGGATCAGCGATGCGTTTTCGTTTTGCTTCCCCAATCTGGGACAATACTTGCTAAGGAACAACTTTGTCAATTCTGGATCTCCAACATCCTCTAGTAAATTCACAAAGGACCGGCAAAATCTGACAGAAGCCATCGCACCACGTCGCCCTCGATCTTCTACGCCCCAACCAAATTTTGAACTAGCCGCATCCAAAAATGTGCGAAGTGCCGCAGCGCTAACTGGTTTGCGAGATGCCAAATCTTCAATGGCGTGCTCAGCAGACGTAAAGTTTAGCATATTTTCCTCATGTCTGACGGCAGGCCACGCAAAAATTGCAAATCTAGAATATTTTGTGCTCTTGATCGGGCCCTCGTTACCCGTGAATTCTATATCTTCCGATCTAGTAAAAGAATCCCATAGCCAGTAAAACGTTTCACCTCCAGGATTCAGAAAGTTAAATTTAAGCATTTTACCACCCTCTTCGTCCTTCCAGCGTCCAAGATCTTCCCCGCTAGTGGTATACCAGTGAAATGCTTGTTTTCGGCCCCAGCATGAAGAGTCGGATAAGCTTATATCAAGCTTTAACGACAATTTCGCAATGAAGAATCGAAGTTTCTTATCGTCGGACACTCGGGAATTTGCAACTTCAAGGGCTTGGAATCTGGCCCTATCGATTCCTTTGAGAGCTGCGCAACCCAAATCTCCAATGCTTTTTTTCGTGTAATGGTGGGATAATAACAATGCAAATGATTCGTTTTCCATTTGACTGATAGCAACGCTAAGGGCGTCCGGGACGGTCCATGTCGGGTCTTTCCGTAGGTGATGCATCGTTGCCGGGAGACAAATCGAGTACACCATAGCCAAGCGGAATCCCTTCGTAACATTCTCTAAATAATGCTCTGCATCAGCATAATGCACAGCAAAGTGGGGCAAATAAGCCGCAGTGCCATCGGCTTTGCCAAAATCATGGCGGTGCTTTACTTTATGTTCGATACAACCTCTAAGTCACCTCCTTCATGTGTGCTTGGTGGCTGAACGACTAACGTTGCAATCATGCCGTCCTCCTTCTCGGTGTCCCGGTGACTGCGAAAGTGACCACCCTCTCCGTATACAAGCACCTTGTACAATTTGCACTCCAGTGGAATTCCTTCGTACCCCAAGCGATTTGCTATGATTTCAGTCAACTTATCAAGTCCTTTCTCCCAAGAAGGGTTTTTTGTCTCGACTTGATCCGGTTGAAGCTGCCAACTCTTTCGGACGTACTCATTAATCCTAGTTTCCATGTTGTGTCCGTACGGAGACTTCTCACATTTTGCAATCAGCTTCTCCGCTTCCTCTTCAACAAGCGGAAGCGAAATCAATCCCAAAGAATCTACAAATAGTCCTGGATCAACCGGCAGAGTGTCAGCTTGACCACCGAACGAATACTCGCCAGCGTTTTCGTCAGCCAAACCTACAAGTTCGCTAATTTTGACACACACTTCTCCCTTTGGCACGGGTACATCATCAGGTTCACCTTCTCCTCCAAACGGCCACTTGTCCTCCCAATATTCTGCTTCAAACATCGACGCTGAGCGCTTAGTATTAATCAAGCAAAATCCCAACTGAGCAGTAAGTATTTGTTTGTACTTGCGTTCGACTGGTGCAGTCAACGATTATACAAATCGATAAATTGAATAAATGGAAAGATAATGTTTTAACGACTGATAGAGAAATTTTTAGAAGCACTCAGTGGACTTGAATGGACCATTAATGATGGTTGTCGACAACGAGGCGTCAATGATTTATTGCTGCAGAAATTTTAAAAAAGAAATTTAGTCTACTTCGTCCCAACTTTTTTGTAGAAAAGAACACTCCATTGAAGTTCTTTAGTCTACCTCGTCCCAAGAAGAAAAAATCACTCTTTTCAATTCTTTTCTTCAGCATTCTGCCATATCAAACTTGCGCAGCGTTGACACTCCTTGGGGGAAAACAAACACTCGGATGTTCGTACTTGGCACTCAGTACATCAAGCGCCAGGCCGATTTCATGCGGACAGATTACTGAGTACGCGCTCAAATCGGCCTTAGCACTCGATTATTCTAACATCGTGGCCAAGTTGTACAATGCGGTTCGTCAGCGAACGCAGGTCACTTGTTAACTCATCGATGGCTACCCACAAGGTTACATCTGACGGTGTGCTGCGACTAAACTTTGTGAATTACAAGGTAACGAGGTCCCCATGTTTTTTAATATGCTGATTGTGATCGTACTACACAAGCTTTTACACTTGTTAGGTGCAGGATTAGCGACTTTAGGATTGATTGGTGCTGGTACTGGTATCGGTAACATTTCTAGCTCTATAATTATGGTATTTCGAAAAAACCCTTCTTTACAAGAAAAATTAAATGAGTACCGCATTTTTAATGTAAAACTCATGGAAAGTTAAAAAACATATCAGCAAAAATATTAACCAATTCAGTTCTTGGTATGTCGTGTGTTTTTGTGACATTTCATATGCTAAGTGTGGATGACACTTTAAAAAAGCTGCCACGTGCTACTTAGCACACGCCTTTTAAGCACGCGAGGAAGCGATTAGATGCGCATCTTGCGAGCTTACATATATTCAAGCTCGCTTAATGACATAACAGACTGACGTCATTTGATGACGCCTAGTTCAAGCTGGGCGACCAATGTGAATACATTTACATACGCATAGGTGTGTCTTATGATGTGTCTTACCCAAGCGACAGGTCTTAAGTACTTACGTACCTTTTTAGACCTGCCCGTTGAGTATCGCCTGCTTAACGGGTACGTGTAACTTTTTAGTTTACTAGTTAGAGCAGATACAAAATTGCTTGTGCCTTCAGATATAAAAACATTGCTGGTAATGCTGGCATAAATGTTTTCTACAATTCGTGTCGGTGGTCTCAAATGCAAGAGATGAAGCCAGCTTTTGTGCATCTGGTCAAACCTTCTCACATTTCTCATACTGTTAGAATCTGCCAGAGGGAGTCGGTGTTTGCGTCAACTACACTTTTGGTTTGCCAGTAGTATTAGCAAGCGACGTAACAACATATAACTGGATTCGACGTATACGATATGGAAGTGTGTAGCAGGGTCACACGACGTTGAATTATATAATTATTCAGCTCACATCACGATTAAATACCCGATCACATTGCATAAAGTGTATTATTGATCCTCTCCTTATGGAGATATATTGTAACAGGGCATCTAGTTACACGTAAACATTAAGTAATATACTTAATGTTTGGTCTAAAAGTATCCATGATTACTTTTGACCTGTCACTTGGGTGCGATACACAAACGTGATCCACCCTCGTGAATGTGATATCCATTTACAGATTCACATGAGAAGGGATGACGCTAGTTGAAGCTAGGCATCGCGACGTCTCAGAAAGACGTCAGTTGCGATCTTAAATCTAGATTTAAGTTCATGCGACAGGATACGCTTCTAAAGAGTCGCGTATCCGATCTTATATACATATATAGCCCATCAGTAGTTAAGTATATATTTAGTTATAATTCATTAAATATAGCTCAGTCTTGAATTTACTAAAACGAAAGCACCGCGCACGAGAAGCTGAAAAAGCTTCTACGTGACGTCGGTGACTTGTTGTCTTAGAAGTTCGTTGCACTCTCGCTTAAGCAAGAGGCAACTGGCGGTACGACTGCTTAAGCAGTCGACCAACCTCCTAACCACCCTCGCACGCGAAGGTAAGACGGTCTAACCGCTTCCTCGCTTGTGATGAATGTGTGCTAGTAGCACGAGGCAACTTCGTAGAAGTGCCCGTCTACACTTGGTAGCACTTGTAGTCCTTCCCACGACTCGTCTCTCTGAGCGTGCGTGTGGTTAAGATGGTTCTTAATATGGACTGGAGTGATTCCCTCGCCTCTCTTAACACCATAGGGAGTTGGCAGAGCATATGGCGCAGGGACTTGGTGAACAAGCCCTGGTCAACCTCTTGCATTTTCCTCTTGAGCAACATGTTGCTCAGTTGAAGCAATTTGAGGCGTTTGTGCTCGGACAGCGTAGAAATGCGTCCGAGGCAAAAAGCCAAGCTACGGCTGAGTCCATCAATAAGGCTCAGGATGATGAGTATAGGCTTGAGCAGGCACGTAATGAGGCGCTCAACAGAACTGTTGAGACGCTCTCTGCCCGGCCTACTCAACCGAGGCCCATTCGGATGGACCTTCCGAAGCTCGATGGAACTAGCCCTCACACGATTGTTCACTGTCTATTAGCAGTTGAGCAATGTGGAGTGGCGCAGCTCATCGAAGACGACACTAGAATGGTGTCGTATGCCATGTCCAACTTGCGTGGCAAAGCGTCAGAGTGGGCATACTCTGCGCTGATGGCAAATGCTGATGCATTTCCATCATGGGCGATCTTTAAAACAAAAATTCGCGCCATGTATCAGCCGCCTAACAACGAAGTGTTGCTTATGGCGCGCTTCTTTGGAGCACGACAGGCGAAACGCTCTCTGCAAGAAGTTGTGCGGGAGATGCGTTCGCTGTCGGCGTCCATCAATGGGGAACCGATACCGGAACGTATCAAGGTGGCCACGTTCATGAATGGACTTAGGCACGGCCCATCGCGTCCGGCCCTTTTTAGAAAGGTGCCAGCGATGATGGAAGAGGCAATTGACATTGCCTTAGTTGAGGAGCAATCCTACAATAGTGCCTCGGCGATAACTTATATAAGCCGTCGGCTGAAAGGTCAAATGCCACTTCTATGGAGTTAGGCAATGCAGATGTGATCTGCTACAAGTGCGGCAAGCAATGCCATATGATGGCTCGCTGCTATGCCAAACTTGCTGCTGGTACTAAGGCAGCCTGCAAAAGGTCGCCCAACCCGAAGGGAGGTGCGAAAAATCAGCGTGCACGACGCACGGGTTCAGCACCTGCCCAAGAGGGGTCGGGAAATGCGGAAGCGCAGTAGTGGCGGTATGCCCTACTGTAGCGGACTCTGAAGCTACCCCTAAGTTCAGAGTGATCGAACAAATGGGTAGCATAGCCCCTGAGGTTCCAAAAGGTCGGACCTCAACCCTTTTGGTCTATAGCGCTCGAGTAAGAGGCTATGACCAAGTGATGACCCTTCTCGTGGATTCGGGTGCATCACAAAACTTTGTGAAACTCGCGGCTCTGAAAAAGAGACCGGCGAGTTATGAGTCGCTTTGCCAGGATGGCAAGCGAGAAGAGGCGATCGTTCGTTTAGCGAAAGGCGCGCTCGTCAAATCGGAGGGAGTTCAAGTTGAACTCGCCTTCAGTTTCAGTGACTTCTCTTGTAAGAGAAGTTCACAGTGCTAGGTATGGAGAGTCCGTATGACCTCATCCTAGGCATGCCTTGGTTGGCTAAACACCAATCATGGATAGACGGCGTACACGCATAGTCGCTAGCTCTACGCAAGACACCGGAAAGGATGTGCTCTTGCGAGAGGCTTATGTGGCTGATGCTGTGTCCAATACAGTCGAGGGTGCGATGACGGTATGTCAATCGACACCAGGAACTACCTAGCTCGAAAGGAGTGGTGTAGTTGGGAGTGCCCTGGCGGAAAACCAGGTGACACATATTCCTATCCAGGTCGAAAAGACTGGTGTAGTGAATGGGGCGATGACAGGTAGTCATGCGTCCGATAGTCCTGCACAGAGCCGAGAGCCTGTGGCAGTTGATGGTGGTCTGAAAGCAAGTCAAGCGACACAAGAACCAGCACAGAGCCATGAGCCTGGTGCGGTTGGAAGGAGTGCGTTGGCTAATACAGCAAAAACACGTTGTTCCAGGTCAAAGGTCGTGGTGACTCGAACAACGAGTACCAGACGTATTAAGACGATCAAGGGCACGTCGAAACGAGTGACCCTTGGATCAGTCTCGGTCCAAGAGGACGGACCCACGAATGAGTTGTTCGAGGCCGTCGAAGACAAGATGCCGGAGGCATCCTCGGTTGAGGTGCATCAACTTGTCTTGGCATCTGCCGAGGTGATAGTAAATCTCTCGGCGATGACGTGGGATCTGTTCCTGTCCGAAGTAAAGGAAGGAAAGATCCACGAGATAGTCGCACCAGTTACAGAAGAGAACGTGGTGGACTGTTGCTCTTCATTCACAATGGATGAGAGCGTCTTGGAGACCGACAAGAAGAAACGGTTCGGTGCTCAAGGCTGGTAGGCCTTGAAGGCAGCCCTTTCTATGATGTTCTGTGGAAACACCGTGATGTGTTTCCAGCAGAAGTGCCGAGCCGCCTACCGGCCGATAGGGGCATCAGGCACGAAATTGACCTGGAGCCTGGCATCAAGTATTGTGTGACCAGGCAATGGCCGTTACCGAAGGAACAAGTCGATTACATCGATGAGTTCTTCGACAAGCGAGCTAAGGCGGGACATGTACGTGAGAGCAAGTCGCCTCACTGCAGCCCGACCTTCTGTGTGCGTAAAGAAACAGGTGGATGGCGCGTGGTTCGTGCTTATAATAAGCTGAACACGGCCACCATTCCGGCTCAAACGCCGATCCCACGAAAAGATGTCTTGTTGAATTACATGGAAAGTCAACTATCTTTTCCGCGCTGAA